TAGATTTATAAGTTTTTTTTTTTAGGTTTCAGGATGGCAGTTGCGTAAATAAAATAGATTATTAAAGTTTATTTGTCTTTTATCGAGTTGTATCAAATTACTAGATTTGACAAAGTCATTCTAGTAATTATCCTACTTTCCAAAGTCATTTTAGTAATTAACTCTAGTTTTTAGTCGTCTTCGGCCCCAACAAGCCGGCCATTGGGCTTTACAATCTTTACTATGAGGAAATATTCTCTTCATATGAGGGAAGGTGGAGTCGAACTCCACATACGTGAGAAGCAATCAGAGGTGGATAACCACTGGCCCACATGTACTTTCTCGATAAGAGACTTTAACTATACGAAAGCAAACAAAAAGGTTGTAAATTGAAGTTTGACCAAAAAAAGAAAGTTATAAATTGACGAAGCTCAATGGTTTGGAAACACTACAAATATATAATCTCAAATAATAAAAAGACATTAAATTTTGGTCAAGTCAAGAAGTGGATATATTTAATTATTTACTTGAAGAAATAGATTTAATTTTTGGATAACCAACTGGTCGTAAAATAGTTTATTAAGTTGTTGAAAAAAAATCGATTTAATTTGTAAATTTAATTAGATACAAAAATAAGGTACTTAAATAATTTCATTGACCAAAAAAAAATAAATATCTTTCCTACAATATTCTTCATTCCAAGTCAAATTTTACAGTTTATATATATACAAGATTCTTTCAATCACTGAACTACAAACGATACAACAGAAGAAAAAAACCCTAAAGTAACAAAGAGAGAGACATAGCGATGAGTAAAATCGTCAAGTGGTCTTCTTTACCCGACGAGCTCGTCGATTTAATAGCCGACCGTGTCTTCTCCGACGTGGAGCATCTCCGATTACGTAGCATCCGCAAATCTTGGCGTTCTGCGATTGCCACCAACAAACGTTTCCCCAAACGCTTCAACCTCAACCGTAGACGCCCCCTTTGTTCTTACAGTGGACATACGTGTTTACTTTCTCCCGCAGCTTTCTTCCGTGTGGTTCTCTCGTCATGTCCGAACAAAGGATGGCTTATCAAAACTCAAGATGTCTCGAAACTCCGTAAACAACTGGTTTCACCTCTCTCTCGTGTCTTCATAAGCTCTTCCGAACCAACCCTAAATCTTTTTGACTATACGGTCACAGAGATTCATCAATCTTACGACGTTCAATACTCCGTAGATTTCAATAGAATGTCGCTAAATTTCGCTAGAGTTGTTCTCGTGGACGATCTAGTTTTCGCTGTCAATCGCTACAAAGAAATCAGGTGGTGCAATAGTGGAGAAAGTAGTACTAGTACTAATGCTTGGACAAGAATTCTAGATGAAGAAGCGGAACATTTCTCGGATATTATAGTCCACAAAGGTCAAATCTATGCCTTAGATATAAAAAGCGCGATATGGTGGATTAGTTTATCTAAGCTTAACATATATCAATTTGGACCTTCAATTCCAATGAACGAGTACGACATTATTGATTGCAAAGAGAAGCGACTCGTGGAGTGTTGTGGAGATCTATGCGTTGTTCATCGTTTTTGTAAGAGATTTCGCGTAAAGCGAGTTAATATTGAGAAGACCATTGGTTTTAAGGTTTATAAGATGGATGAAGAAATGGTTGAATGGGTTGAGATCAAGTCTTTGGGAGATCAGGCTTTTGTGATGGCAACTGATAGTTGTTTCTCTGTTTTAGCTAGTGAGTATTATGGATGCTTGGAGAATTCTATCTATTTTACAGATGAGGAAGAGAAAGACAATGTTAAAGTGTTCAAGCTTTGTGATGGTAGTATTACTAAGATGGTGAAGTCTTCTTGTGAGAGTTGTTTTCAAATGTTTTCTCCTCCTTTTGCATGAGAATATTGTTTGTTTTGAATCTTTTGGTTTTGTTCATTAGAGTAAAACTTGTATTCATAATTTATGCTTTTTTTGTTGTTAAAATACAAATGCAAATTGTATTCCAATTTATGT